GCGCGCGCACCCTTGACTCGCCTAATTGCATTCATACCCTTAAGACTCCCCCACTTTCCCCAAAAATCCTTGGCACACCCCTTTTCGCACTTCCCGGCCCACACTCCACTCTGATGAGGAAGTCGCGCTGGGCGTGAGGTTGGGCGTCACACCTCCCCTCCTCCTACCCCGTCGTACTGGCTCATATGGAGTACGAACGGTACCTTGTGACGCCCAAATCTGACGCCTAGTGCGACTTCCTGATCGGAGTGGGATGGGGGCCCGAAAGTGCAGAAAAGGGGTGTGCCAAGGATTTTAGGATAGTGGGGGTGGAGTTCCAGGTCAAAAACTGAAATCTCCTATGGCAAGCCTTGGGGGCAGTTATGCAAGATAGTAAGCGTGAACCTCGTCTGACTTTTATGCCTTGGAGGATGTCATCGCCATCCCCACGAGCTTCGTTGCCGAGGCCGGTCTCGGATTTGGTGAACCGGCGGAACGCTATGTGTGTCGTGTGGCCTAACCAATCGCCAGCGTCGCTCGTGATATGCTTCCGAGTCGGACGAAGCAGGCCTCAGGCGTAGGCTGTGTGCTCGCCGTTCTGCCTTAGTCCGGGTTCGTCAAACGAACCCCACGGCTCGGTACGACGGTACTCACTGTCCTGCTGGCACTCGGAGCACGGGGTTGGCCAGTAGGGGGCGAATCCGTGCCATGGGGCCGCCGTCAGGCAGTGAAAAGGCAGCACGAGGCAGTAGGGAGCGAAGTCGGTCTCAATGATGACGACACGTGGTTCGGCGATGACGTGGCTTACGTGTGAGCTGGGGAACTGAGAGGGGAAGGGGATCACACTTAGGGTCCGCTCAATGTCCCACTCACAGACGTGTTCGTTTCCTGTCCAAAAGGGGAATTTTGGAGGGTTGGGGCAGGGTTGTGCGAGAAGTCAGGCGTTTTTCCACTCCTAGTATTCTCTGAACCGGCGGTGTCTCAGGCTTTCCCCATCCGTGACGTGGAAGGGAGTCCGGAATTGGGCGCATTTAGACATGGACGCGAGGGCGGGTCTGGTAGACGCGCATGTAGGCAATGTTCGCTTCGATCAAGTCTGCACGTAGGCGAGCAAGACCAGGGTTGATCAGTTGGATCCGATCAATTGGCTATCCCCTTGGTCGGGAGATCGTCTGATCCATCGTTATGCCAGTCTGTGTGCGTGTCAAAAACAGATACTAGGAAGGCCATCCGCGGGCAATCAGACATTTGAATCAGCCATCCATTTACCCACCAGAGCATACATCAGTCGGGACCGCCAAGTGCTCGTGAGATCTTTCGGTCAAAAAGGGATCGGGAGCTGATATGCATACTCAAGCATTGATCGAACTTATGCATCAATCAAACATGAACAAGAGATTGACAAAGGTGTGCACATCAAGCCACGTCACCGAAAAGGCCTACATCATCATAACCCAAGCAGACAATCGTCATGTCCGATCTCACCAATCTGCAATGAAACAGATATGAGGGGAGGGGGGGGGGGGGGGGGGGGGAAGTGCGAGAGCTCATTCCACACATACCATAAGCAGAAAATACGAAATGATTCTCAAGAAGATCGAAAACGGCCGTAACAAGATCCGACAAGGTTGAAATCAAAATTTAGACAGAGGGTTAAAGGCATCATCCCACACACACATCTCTTTCTCTCTCTCTCTCTCTCTCTCTCTCTCTCTCTCTCTCTCCGCTACATCACCTTCGATGCGGGCAGTCCGTCGCCTCGCACCAACACTGAGTCGTCACCCCGCTTAGTCCGAGTACGCAAGCCAGGTTTGCCCGTGCGTCACAGTCCGTCGTGACCCGCATGTCAACCCCGCCTACCCGACACCAGCTCGTTGGGTCGCCCGACTCACCTCTGCTCATCTTCTCACTTACTTGTTAGCCGATCCTCACTGACCATGCTAACTTCCAAATTATGAGAGAGCAAACTAATCGCGCTTGCGAAATTTATAGTGTGCATGCTTGCACGATGAACCCGGGATCCTGCCTAAGTGAGGAGAAAGGGAAGAGAAGGAAGTGCCTACACCTGCATGGCCAAGCCGTGGTGTGGGGGACGCAGCGACACTCCATGCATCGATCCGGCCATGCAGTCGCTCAAACCAATTAGAGTGGAGGACAAGGTATGCACGACAGAGGGGAAGAAGGCGAAAAATCACGAGAGAATCAAGAAGGAGTACAGTTACAATCGCGCCCGCCAAAAATTACAGTTACATGCAAGATTAAGGGCGCGATACCGTCAGAGCCCAGTTCCCGTTGCGGTGAAAAGTGCGCGAGCAAGAGGCGAGGCGCTGTCGAGCGCATCGGTCCGGCACCCCACAAAACTGGGCGGGACGCAGGAGTTGGTTTGATCCTCGTCGCGAATACACATGGATCTTTCGCAAGCCGCTCCGAGCCATTCCTCTCAGGATCCCCTACGACAGGATAGGGCCTACGCAAGGCACAACTTACCTCCACCTTACGGGAGTTGTCACCTCCCTTCGGTGGGCGTATCCCCGCCGAGCTACCAGTCCACAATACGAAAGCTAATAAGTTGCAATCGCAGAGGTGGACCAGCCGAGGGTGTTTCTCGTACGCTGTAGCATAGGGGGTACGCGCGGTTTTACGCCTCTATCGGACCCGCACGAGAACCGACATCTTGGGGGGGCTGAGGTCCCTAGCGCGACTCGTCGCCGGTCGACTAGGATGCATCCCACACACCACGCACACATCACTCTAAAAAGCATAAAAAAAATAAAAACACACACACATATACATACATATATATATGTATAAAGAAAGAATAAGTATGTGACGATCACTTCTCACTACAGATGAACCCCAAGATGGTAGCCTCCCTCATGCAGTGTTTGGATTTGGCTCCACTTGATATGAGGTTGTGCTCTTCAAGCAAACTCGGGACTTTATCAAGATCATGAATGTGCTTCCAAACAAAGCGCCTTACTCCCGGCAAGACTTCGTCACTCTCCTTCTCTCTAGGCCCCTTTACCGCCAAGTCGTCGATATACGACTAAGTGATTTGCGTGTTGACTGACTGCATGACTCGAATCATATGTCGCTGAACCATTGTCACATCATTAGTTCACCCTTGCAGAGCCACATTCATATGGATCAATCCTCTAGGTGTATGCATTGCTGTCACCGGCCTCTCTGGTGGGTAGACTGGAAACTGGTCGTACCCCGAGTAAAGGTGTATAAGTGAAATTATAGGCCTTCCAGCACAGAATTCTGACAGCGCATCTACATTTGACAAACCTCCCGCATCTCGCATAGTCACTGCATTCAGCCGCTGCAAATCTTGCACCCATCACAGCGTCCCATTAGGCTTAACAAAACAAAACCATAGAGACGCGTACGGCCCACTCGAGTAGTCGGCAACATGCATACGTATCTTGTCATCGAGGTAATCCACTACCTCCTTCTCCTCGTCAGGATTGGGATACCGTGCCCCTCTCAAATTCCATGGCTCATGCGGCACGATATGAATCCGGATCATGAGGATTTTGTCCACATCCAGTCTCCCGCGCTGATAATCATTGAAAGCATAGGCGCAGTGCCTCTTCTTCATCAATTCTATCATCAACGCCCTTTTCCCGGGTAGTAGGAACTCCGACTCTCCCACTATCAACTTCTCCTCATTCTCTTTATTGATACGGCACAGTCCCGTCGCTGCTTGCTCCCTCATGCACCGTATCAATCCTCGTTCTCGAAGCCTCCTCATCTTCCTTTACGAGGACGAGAATTGGGAGACATTTCTTGTCTATCGTCTTATACCGCCTTTGGGAACCCTGCTTGAGCCGGTCCCTAAAAAAGGTCGGCTTACTGCTTGTGCCTGCATCAATGCATGGTCCCTCCTTTCACCCGTAAGCCGATAGACCAGCTCCAGTTCCCCAACCTGGGGACACTCCAGGACTTGCTCCCTTAGTGTCTGAATGGCGTCCGGATCCGCCATCCCGTGTGTGGCCACTACATCCATGGCCTTGTTCACGTCAGACAAGCTGAGGGAAAACACCTCCTCCTTTGCCTCCTTTGTTGGTTCCTCACGGAGCTTCCAACGCTCGTCCCCTGATTTTTCAATTGTGAATGAACCAGGGTTGGGCCGATTCCTAATGCTTCGCGGGCCTACGTTCCGACAAGTGATTATCTCATAGTTTCAACATGCCGGGTACACAGGATCAGGATCAGAGTCCCATTGTGTTTATTGAACATTAACGTCTTTGTCCTACATAGGAACGACCTCCCTAGGAGGATGGCATGATCCACGTCTGGCATGACGAAGAAGCAAGTTCTGGCCTTCACTCTCCCAATCTCAATAAATACATTTGACGTTGTCCCACAAAATACGGCTTTGCAGTTAGCCTCGTGCAAAATGCCGCAATCCGAGCGATCTATTTCCAATCCAAACCTAAGTGCGTCAGTCTCCTTGATGATGTTCATCTCCGCCCCTGTATCCACCATCGCTACGGACCTAGATCCCTTCACAACCAGATCCACCATTCCAATGCCACGCACTTCCAGTCCATCTTCGTCTCAGTTTCGACCCACCCCGCCTCCTTTGGAAGAATCACGCTTAGATGGACATTTGGCACTAAGAGCCGAGAGAGTCTTCCCTTTAGCTCGTTGTGGAGCTTAGGAGCAAACGCCAAGATCTTTTTCAAGGTCACCAGGTCGTTATGACCCTCAAGTAATCTATCGATTACCTTCTCCATGTCAAACTCTTCCTCCAACCGGACCGCATACTTCTTTTTCCTCGGCACGGCATCGCGCAAAATTGGTTCGACTTCTTCCTGGGCCCTTCTCTTCTTGGCTTTTTGCTCCGCTCTCTGGTCCTCTACTTGGCACAACCTTTCATCTTGCTCGTCCTCCTCCTCCTCATCCTCCACCTCTACGACCTCCTTTCTCTTCTCTGGCTCTTTCCGCGGAGGTTCCTGGCTTGCACTGGCCTTAGTCTGGCCTCTGGTATGAACCGCCTGCACCATTCTTCCTTGCGCCGTAGGGGGGCTGACCATCATTCAAGACATCGGGCCTGATCCCACGGTAGCTACTCCGGGGTACCCTTGTCGTCCTGGTCCTGATTCAGGGGCAGACTCATAAAGGAAGACTTTGGGGATACCAGCCCTCCAACCCTTCACTTCCTCGATGTCTGCCAACTTCCGCTGGTATCTCCCCATCTTTCCCCGCAGATCCTCCATCTTTCCAATGAGGAGTGAAGCAGGGTCCACCTTCTCATCCTCATCCTCCTCATCTGACTCAACGACTATAGGTTTCTCCTTTACTGTCCCTGTCTGCAGTCTCTGAGTCACTTCCTCATCACTTTCCACTTTTTCCACCCTAATTGGTGGGTCATATTTTTCTTGCCACAATCTGAACGTGGCAGGTGGTGCTTCTCGCGCAACTACCCTTCTCTGAGCTTCCGCCCTTACTCCGCCTGGAACCTTCCGGTCGATATACTCTCCGAACTGATCGTATATATCACCATCCATATCGAAATAGATCAGTTCGGGTTTCTCATCCTCCCGTCTTGTACTGCAGAACCGTATTGTATGACCTTGCCTACCGCAATGTTGACAAATAGCGGTCCTCCAGTCAAAACGAGGCCTTCCATATCCTTGACCTCCTTGGTTCCCTTGACTACCCTGGCCTTGGCAGCCCTGGTTGTCCTATTGTCCTCCTCGGCCATCGCCATTCTTGCCACATCCTCTTCCGCCGCCTCTTCGTCCATTCCCTTGATTGCCCTGACCTTGATTACCTCCACCAGCCACACTACCTTGTGAACTCGGCGCAGGCGACGAAGGTGGTGCCATGGGTTGGGCCTGAGCTGCGGGATAGTTTGGTGGTGGCATACTCACTTGGGGCCCACCGTATGGTACCATCTTCCCAGATGGAGTCGGGCTTCCCCATGGCACAAAGGTGTTGAACACAGGTCATGGCACTGCCTGTATGGTGGTACCATCGCTTGTGAGGGTCCCACGCTACTTGATAGAGCCGTCGTACTCAGCAGGGCTACTGCCAATGCTTGGGGCGCCTGTCCCTTTCCTAAGCCTTGCCCTCCCTGCGTTAAGTTGTGTTGTTTGCGTAGCGCTTTTGAAAGGTGCTAGAGCACCGACTCCTCTTCTTCTCACTTCTCCTGAACGGCTTCCTCTACCACCGGCTCTTTCGCCTTCCTTTGAATTGTCGTCACCACTTTCTTCTGTATCACTGGGTCTTTCCCATAGCCTAGCTCTGCAAGCACGTCGGTGACGATCCTCTTCACTCCCGGGGTCCCTGAGGCGGTCGCATCTCGTTCTTTCCTCTTTCGCCTTTGCAAGCGCATTTGATACCGTTTCACCTGGTCCAGACTTCCTTCCTCTACCCCTTTGTCAATAGTGGCTCAGGTGAGCTTTGCACTTCCTCCTCCATGGCTCGTCAGCTCTGACGCTTCCGAGGCAGTGAGCAATCCTAAGAAAATAGCACACTACGCCTCCTCAGAGATCCCTGGGACCTCTCTCACTTTCTTCTTAAACTCTTGTACGAAGGCTCCCACCGTGGTGAAGTCATCCTTATTCATCGCTTCTAGGTCCGCAGTGGTTAACAGACCATCGCCCAACCTGTACTTCCTCTGCATCCCATCTTTGAATCTCGCCCAGTTGCCATTAGCTGCGTTCACAACCTCTTGATGATGGTCATGGAGCACATACTTCAGAATCCGCTGAAATTTCACAGTGTCCGATAGTCCCACTAACGCTTGTTCTACCAAGTCCAGCCAATCAGAGACCCGTTCCCCATTGAAGTGGAAGGTATCGACCTTGGGAACGTTGCTCTGCGACCTTTCACGCCTGTCCAAGGCTTCGACCAAATCATCGATCGCCAGGACCTTCCGGGTACCATCAGTTATGCCTCCCGACATCTTGGTTGAACCTTTTACTCAAATTTTCCTGTTAAGAAGAGGAAGGAAAAACTTTCATTCAGCGGTTTGACTTATTGTGACGCCTATCGGGTTTCCTAGACAGTCACTTGTTCATATCGAGTAGTACTACATATTCCTACTCATCGAACTTATCTTAATAGGTATCACTTGCACTATAGGATTTCCCTTTCCGATCTTCTAACTCAGACAATCAGTCAGATTTGAGATAAAACTTATTACGTTAATAACGTTCATCCATCATAATAGTCTGGCAAGGCATTACATACTCTATCTTTCCTTATATGCCTATTCTCTCTCAATCCTATACCCGGATGCCGTTCCACCAGAGACAACGGTAGGCTTTCGTTATCCCCGACAACGGTGCCACCTGTCGAGCGCATCGGTCTGGCACCGCACAAAACAGGGTGGGACCCTCCCGGCCGCGATAGGCAGGAGTCGGTCCGATCCTCATCGCGAATACACACGGAGCTTTCGCAAGCCGCTCCAACCGAGTGCGCCAACCATACCTCTCGCGAACCCCTACGACAGGATAGGGTCTACGCGAGGCACAACTTACCTCCACCTTACGGGAGTTGTCACCTCCCTTCGGTGTTGTGTAACCGGCTGAACGTGCTGAACGCACGTTCATGTTCAAACGCGCGCGTTCATACCCCTCGGGGCCGTGTTCAATCGCGTTCAAACGCACTTCGCGCCACGTGGCACGAAAAAATTGAACGCGACCCCGGGGGGCAGGCACGCGCGTTACGGACTACGGGGTGGTGGGCCTCGTTCAAGGAACCCCGTAAGTGCGAACCCCTCCCCCCCCCCCCCCCCCCCCCGAGGCCTACCGCCCCTACCACATCACCCCCCACCATATGTGGAAGGTCCTTCTTTTTTTTGGGGGGGGCGGACAGGGGAATCCCCCTAACACGACTCAGACAGCCCATGCAGGCCCTTTGAAGGGTCCTCGCAGCCATGTAGTGCAGACCCCCCCACCAAAATCAAGGCAGGCAATGAATATGAAGTAGAGCTCGAGCTGGCCGAATATATACTTAAGATTCGGCTTCAGGTCTGTGTTTCAACATTTATGGGTTGCTCACGTAGCTAGGGCCTGCTGGTCTCTGCACGTGACTCTTAGGGTTTGGCTGCACTACTCACCAATGTGCAAAACTAGAATGAATCTTCTGCATAACATGGAATAATACGCCGCCATATGTTTTGTTTTTTGTGCATGTGGTGAGTAGAGGCCCTTAGGGCCACTGCACGTATTCCTAAGAAAAGAAAAACGAGAAAAAAAGAAAAACGAGAAAAAAGAAAAATGAGAAGAAAAGAAAAAGAAGAAAAAAGAAAAACGATATTTTTTTCTCGTTTTTCTTTTCTTAGGAATACGTGCAGTGGCCCTAAGGGCCTCTACTCACCACATGCACAAAAGACAAAACATATGGCGGCGTATTATTCCATGTTCTGCAGAAGATTCATTATAATTTAGCACATTTGGTGAGTAGTGCAGCCAAACCCTAAGAGTCACGTGCAGAGACTAGCAGGCCCTAGCTACGTGAGCAACCCATAACTGCTGAAACACAGACCTGAAGTCGAATCTTGAGTATATATTCGGCCAGCTCAAGCTCTGCTTCGTATGCACTGCCTGCCTTGATTTTGGTGGGAGGGTCTGCGCTACATGGCTGCGAGGACCCTTCAGATAGCCTGCATGGGCCGTCTGAGTCGTGTTAGGGGGATTCCCCTGCCCGCCCCAAAAAGAAAAAAAA